AATGACCGAGTTTATAGTTGACGTATTTCAATACGTACAGTCCAACCTACCCGTGAAGATCCGGGTTAGAATTGATTACAGACAGACCGCCGCCATATAGCTGAAATATTGCTGAGTGTGGCGTAATACTAAACTCAATGACTCATTACTGTCTAGATACGCACATTTCCTGAATCTGAAATCTCGAATATCTGAACACCTCCCCTATCCGAAGTCCGCAGAATAAAACACCCTCTAGTTTAAAATGCATATTTTTCAAACTTATAAGCAGTCAAAAATACGCCGATGTCTATCTGTGAAGTTAGGTTAGGAAACACCTGATCACAAACGTGGTCAGTAAAATGGGTACTTTTTTTAAATAGCAACTATATTCACTAAATAGTACTCAGGGGCGGTGGAGTAGCCTAGTAGTTAAAGCCTTGACTCGTCTCGCCGAAGACCCGGGTTCGATTCCCCACATGGGTACAATGCGTGAAGCCCATTTCTGGTGTCCCCCGCCGTGATATTGCTGGCGTAAACCTATTCTCACTCACTCACTCACTCACTCACTCACTCACAGTACTCACTGTATATTGTCATACCTTTTAGTCACTGTTTTCCATACACCGTGATACATGTATACCTTCTGTTCACCATATATATTACTATATATGGGTCCTACTCATTGCATCTTGTCACATCTATTACTTTGTATATATCATACACCCATTGTATATAATTATTATCCCACTCGTACAAAATCATCCCTTCTACTTTTTGTATAACATAAATATGTACCTACTCTGTGTATATCATTTCACCTTTTAATTGTTGGATAACAAAGTATACCCTTTACTCTTGCCTAAAAGTTCTCGAATTTCTTATTGTATAACATACTATACATACCACCTACTACATATCATAATGTACCTTCTACTTTGTGTATATAATGTTACCTTATTTGTATACAAATATACATTTTACTCTGAATATCGATAAAAAAGTATACATTTTACTTATTGTATAACATAATATACTTCCTACTTACTGTATAACACCATACACCTTCTATATAATGTTGCCTATATTTGTGTAATAAATTACCTTTTACTCTGAATATCAAGTATACATTTTACTTTATTGTATAACATAATATACTTCCTACTTACTGTATAACACCATACACCTTCTATATAATGTTGCCTATATTTGTATAATAAATTACCTTTTACTCTGAATATCAAGTATACATTTTACTTATTGTATTAGATAATATACTTCCTACTTACTGTATAACACCATACACCTTCTATATAATGTTGCCTATATTTGTATAATAAATTACCTTTTACTCTGAATATCAAGTATACATTTTACTTATTGTATAAGATAATATACTTCCTACTTACTGTATAACACCATACACCTTCTATATAATGTTGCCTATATTTGTATAATAAATTACCTTTTACTCTGAATATCAAGTATACATTTTACTTATTGTATAAGATAATATACTTCCTACTTACTGTATAACACCATACACCTTCTATATAATGTTGCCTATATTTGTATAATAAATTACCTTTTACTCTGAATATCAAGTATACACTTTGCTTATTGTATAACATAATGTATCATTATTATTCTACTTAATGTATAACATAATATACCTTCTACTCTCTGTGTATAATTTACTCAATGTTTTGTGTATAGATATATATTTGTTTAGTAGTAGTTTAAATTAGTAACTGAAATTGTCATTGGCTGTACCCTCGAAAGGGGTTTAAGCATTGTAAAATTATTGTCCCCCTGAGAGGGTACGTAAGTCTCCCAAAACTTCAAGTCAATTTAGCTCCACCAAACCTTTAATCGTAGTATATTTGTTGTACAATCGCCAGCGACTCAAGGGCTGGAGTAAATCCAGATAGGGTCCATTATGTAGCAAAAGTACAGTAAGTTCCCATGGGCCCTCGTATGGTGATCTACCTTCAGTTGTTGGCGATGTATAGCCTGTTTTTTATATTATCCATTATCTAAATAATGCTATTAGGTTTAACTTTACAATCATGCTAGTATTAATTCTAACTGTGATAGTCTAGTTGTCTTACTGTCCTTTGACGACAGGTGTTATAATTTATACATATTGTTTTCTCGTCACGATATAGCTGACAATGTGCCGATGAGACGTTAATTATTAACTCACTCACTCAAATAGTGCATAAAACCATATATTGGACTTATCATGTATGTGTATCAACATATGTCCTACTCACTGCATGTCAACATACCTTTCTACCTGTTTGGTATAGTGCTGTACATTATATTGAGATAACACCCGTGAAGACCCGGTTAGAATTTGTCTTCAGCAAGAGGCGACTAACGGTATCGGGTGGTCAGGCTCGCTGACTTGATTGGCACATGTCATCGTATCCCAATTGCGTAGATTGATACTAAGGATGTTGATCACTGGATTGCCTAGTCCAGTCCCGATTATTTACTGACCGCCGCCATGTACCTGGAATATTGCTGAGAGCGGCGTTAGACAACCAACAAAATAACAATAAATATGTAGTTTGAGTCCCAAACCCCAAAAGAGTTCAAACGACATTAGGCAACATCGAAACTCTGAACTACGCTCAACGATCCGATGATGAAGTAAGTGAATGCTGTCTACCATCGTATTCCAGCTTTGGGGTAGCGCTTAAAGCGTTCGCTCGTCATTAACCTAACCTGTTTATATTTATACAGTTCTATTCCCCACATGGGTATAATGCGTGAAGCCTATTTCGGCGTGAAGCCGTTATTTTGACTGTTGTTGGATCTACATTGTACCCATCTGCAGTGAGTGGAGTGGTTGAGTTTCAGTTTTACGCAATATTTTAGCATTACTCCAGCAACGTCACAGTGGGAGGGGGGGGGGGGGGAAGGGACCACAAATGGAATTCGCATGTTGTACGGGTCTTTTGCGAACGCTTTAACCATTAGGCTACCCCTCCGCCCCATATATATTCAAGTGTGACGAATGAACACATTAAGCACTAGGTTACACCGGTTAGTAGAAAGTGTCTGAAACAAAATTGGGTTTCGATGCTATATTTCGGTTTGCACTTTTCCCCTTCATTTTTTGTCATTTAACGGATTGGACGTGTTTTCTTCTACACCTGCCACGAAATAAAGTACATATATTTTTCTCGTCTGGAAGAATACAAGTAAGGGGTCATTATTTACAACTGAAAAATAATTTGTAAATATGTATGTGCCCTCACTCACTCACTCACTCTGTGACTATTATCGTTTCTCGCCGACTGGAGACCTTATAATGTCTAATCCCCATTAGTAATGACAACAGAAATGATATTAAATCGGACTAAAGTATCCATGATACAGACAGATTTTAATTTTGTTGCGGAAATTTTCAGAATCATTAACCTAACCTGTTTATGTACTAGCCATCAAAGTGTTCTTGTGAAAGTAGTCACGATGGCTAGGGTGTGAGAACTGTTTATTCGCTGATTCAACTGATGACAAACTCACACCCTGTAACAATGAATGAGATAATAAGAATACAATGTATCTCACAATTTGACATATAGGGGCAACAATTTACATAATCATAAGTAATACAGACATTAATACTTTATATAAGAAACAATTTACATCATCATAAGTCATACAGGCATTAATACTTTATATAAGCTTGACATATCGTAATCTTTGCAGTTACGCATGCAATACAGATATGGCATGACATTCTTTGTGTTATATTCAATTAATTAGAATGTATTTATGATATAAAGAATATATACATGTATATCCTAGTGTATACACACACATGTATACTATACTATACAAATATATGTACACATATGTACCCTGTAATTGTTGACACATGATAATCTTGTATCAACCTGTTCATGATATCAGGCATGCCCTGAGTACTATTTACACATTTAAATATTTCATCTAAACTATCAATTCTGTAATAAACTGTACAAACTACTACCATCTCAACAAAACCACACATACAATCCGATGTGGTATTTCTTATACATATCCACTCAACACAGAAAGTATATGTGACATGTGAGGTGAGGTGAGGTGAGGTGAGGTGAAATTGGGTTTTACGTCTTGCTTGAGAATATTTCGCGCATATGACGACGTGCATGCGTGTGTATGTGCGGCTGCTTGTACTAGCCCAGACTTAAGCTGGTTTTATAGTGCTAGCCCACTGAGATACCATGCCGCAGTGAAGCATGAATACCCCACTCAGACACATTATACTGACTCAGAGCCGACCAGTCCTTGTTGTACCCATTAATGCCGAGCGCCAGGCAGGGAGCAACAAGTACCATATTTTAACGTGTTTTGGTATGACGCGGTCGGGGATGGAACCTGCGACCTTCCGCTCTCTGGGCGGACGCTCTAACCACTACACGACGGAGGTGGTCATATGTGACATGGTTAAAACCACAACATTGATATGATCTAGATATATTTACATGAAGTCATTTATACATTACAATGGCATAAAAAGAACGTAATAGTAAGTAATTCTTTTAATTTCCGGTCCTGTGTCTGTCTCAAGTGTAGGTTGTAAGTGCCAGTGACAAGAATGCATAATGTGGAAACAAAGGGTTTGGAAGTAGGACACCTAATTTAACACTAGCCAATCATTAAAATATCTAGGCTTATACTTTGATTGCTAGCTGATCTACCCGACACTGAAGTGGACTTACCCAATGAAATTACTTAACAAAAAAAATGAACTGTTATGATCTTACTTTGCTTACAACTGCTTAAATATCTTATGCAGCCTGAAATGAGAGATTTGATTATTTATAAATCAGTGAAGATGATTTATAGATCTGAAATTAATGGAATAAATAGTTGTTAATTACTGTATTGCCTGAAACATACAAATGGCATTATTTTAAACATGTTAAAGTAAAACAGCTAAATGCTAAAACATAATCACTATGTACAGAACTCAACCACATTTATATTTGATTATTTTTCAGACACAAAATTGTGAGGTAGTTCAACAGTCGCACAGTTGTCCCAGATGAAATACTCCACGATCCACCTTCTCTGCGCCTTTGGTTGCGGTCTGATCTTCTCCTATGTGTTTCTCAGCAACCCCGTTCTACAGTCACAGACGAGGATTCAGGTCCAACAAGACTGCCCGGATGGTGTCAAGTTACGCCCTGTGGGAATTGATGCCCGAAACATCCTCAGCGAACACAGAGAGACCGTCCCCAAAGTTGATACCCATGGTAACCAGTTTAAGATGATTTGCAGCCCCCTCTGCAGCCATACGTACTGCATCCGTAAACCCCCTACGGATACATACACGCTAGCCTGTTGTTAAAGGTTACACAACACCAAATGTTCATAGACTTCTATCGTAACGTTATAATTTTTTTAAATCATCCAGGCTGTCAACAGCCATACCATGTACACACGAGTACAGTCTGGCCTTTAAACGACAATAAAAACACAAATTCCGGCTAACTTATCCGGCAAATATTCCGCGCAGAGGAAGCCGAACACACCAACACCAGTTCCGCACCAAATGTCACCTACTGGAAAATATCTGTGACGCAATAAGCATAAGTCATGGTGATAAAAATGACAGCACTAAATACTTAAAATTGTGGTCAGTTTTAATTACTGGATGGATGTGCTATTTAAAAAAAATTCTTACACCATTTCATTCAATCACAGCTGTCACATGTCTCTATCTCTTCAAATGTTTACATACGCTACTCACTCAGGGAGCATGTGATTCTGATTTAGTGTAGTGGAATCTAAAGTTATATTTGTGTGTCCCTCGCTATGATATCCCTTAAAGCGGCGAGAAATTGCTGGGATAATGTTAAAAATGCGTAGATCGTGACTCACTCGAACCTAGCAATGTTCCAGCTATATGGCGGCGGTAGAAAAATAATCGAGCCTGGACCAGACAATCCAGTGATAAACATCACAGCAATTGATGTACGAAATTGGGATACGATGATATGTGTCAAGCAAGTCTGCAAGCCTGACCATCCGATCCCCTTAGTCGCCTATAACGACATGCATGGGTACAGCAATTCTAACCGGGATCTTCACGGTCAGAAGTATAACTGAAAAGCAGAGTCGAGAGTAAGATTCCGACTATATCCTAAACATTTGTTTATTAATCGTATCCAGCCCCACCGATTGTCGATGTCAAACACATTCAAAGGCAAGGCAATTGTTCACTTGAAACAAACCCACTAGAATGCATTGGACATAAATCGTGTCAGTGAAGCGTCTAATTTGGAAATGGCAACATTTTTCCAACATGTAAGCTTTATTATGGCTTTGAATGTTGTAATCCTGACTAAATAACTCTTGAGCAAGTGGCGTAAGACGCATTATAAATATCTTCGCAAAAACTACAATCTCGATTGTACCTGTGAAACGTATGCATCCAAGGTTGAGTTGCTGGAATGTTGTTGGATATACAGGAGAGGTGAAATATTCCTTTTCGCCGAACAAGTCTTGCGAATTGTATTTTGTTTTGTCAATCTGAAAATGTAAATAATTAAATACGATAAAGATGAGATAATTTCACTGTTCTCCATAATTATTTCAACAGTGCAAGGGGGTTGGTTATATTTGAGCATTGATAAAAGTGTCAAATTTCGTCTACATAATTCCGATAAAAACAGTTCAGACCAAGCTGTTACAATGCGTTTACTGACATTATGTTTTCCAGTACTGGAATACCATTCCCGGCACTTTCCTTATATATATTTTACAGTTCATGTCTTTGTCAACCAATGATGACCTGAAATCTGGCAGTCTCACAACAATCGAGCTCGTAATCAATTTGTGGCAGTGGACTATCAATGCTCACAGCGCAATAAATCCTCCACATTGCACAATCCATGTCTTTGTCAACCAAAGCTGCCTCACAACAACTGCGTCGTAATGGATGTGTGGCAGTGGAGCGTCATTGTCCACAGTGCAATAAACTTTCTCTACATTGCATAATTCTTACTATTGACTATGACCACATCTGGATAGGGTTGTTTATCATAGAAGACTAGTACTCTTAACACACAATACAGGATACGGCGTGTCCTGTTAATCGATTCCAGATGAATGTATTACAGTTTGTTTTGAGATATACTCGAATTGTGTAATTACTGAATTAAGCTGTTCTTTGTCATATCCTAGCTGTATTAGGGCTGACAACAGAAGAAATGGGCAATAACACATTTGGATAGAAGGGCCCCGATCCTGTTACAGGAATATCAGCAGAAATGGGCTTCACTAATTGTACCCACGAGGGCAATCGAACCTGCGGCGTGAGAAGTGAACGTTTTAACCACTAGACTACCCAACAGCCCCCCGCAAATCTTGAACTACTGTTTGATGTTAATTTTGATTATATAAATCTTTTTTTTTTCAGAAATAGCTATAAACAAAGGATAATCAAATACTCATTTTCAAACAAAGGTGTGGTGCGGAACACCTGAATTAACATATCCGTTGTCTTGCCATTGGTCAAGATAAGGTTACAGCTCCGTTAAATCCCTGCTATATTTTTTATGGTCGTGCACAATAATTGCAGTATAACAGGATATCTTATATAATATACAATGATTAATGGTTGCCAGAAAACAATTGCTCATGGTTTGAATGACCCGCTTTTGATAAGGACTATTATGTTAAGTTTACACATCTTGGTGATCACCTTTTTTCAGATGTTGGAAAATGGCGTGATATCAGCAAAATCAGAGTCTTGTGCTGGATAATGACTGCGCCAAAGAATTTGAAATCCAAAGCTCAATATGTCAAGGAAACGTGGGGAAAACGATGCAATAAGCTCCTGTTCTACAGCTCCACCACTGATGAATCCTTCCCTACCATTGGTCTTGGCGTACCCGAAGGAAGGGAACACCTTACCGCTAAAACAATGCAAGCCTTCCGCCATATTTATGCAAACCACCGGACCGAAGCGGACTGGTTTCTTAAGGCGGACGATGACACGTATGTCCTGGTAGACAACTTGAAATATTTTTTATCCAAACAAAATAAAAACGAAGCAGTATATTTTGGGAACCATTTCAAGCATTATATCCCGGAAGGATACAACAGCGGAGGTGCTGGTTACGTCTTGAGCTATGAGGCTTTGAAAAGGTTCGGCGAAAGGGGAAGTAACTTGTGTTCCAAAGATGGCGGCGCCGAGGACGCAGAGTTCGGCAAATGCCTTGTGAAACTTGGTGGGAAAGTTGGTAGATCCCTGGATGAGGAGGGGAAGACGACATTTCATGCGTATCATCCTTTGACACACATGGCAGGCGCGTATGCACAGTGGGTGAAGTCTCATACTGTGCATGGAGCAAGAGCAGTGAGTGACTGATGTTGATTGTAATGGGATTGTTTACTTCATATTTTCTGCTGCATTTTACATGTTTTATATTCTGCCCAGTTCACTGTTTACCACAGAGGTAGTAACAACTTAATAGCAACGTTTGTTAATTGGTTCTTATGCCAATATGAGTTTGCTGTGTACGGGGAATTTCTTTTAAAATAAGACGCGTTACTGTGCTATATACCCGTGAAGGTCCGGGTTAGAATATTGATCTTCAGTAACCTATGCTTGTCTTTAGAGGCGACTAACGGGATCGGGTGGTCAGGCTCGCTGACTTGGTTGACACATGTCATCGGTTCCCAATTGCGCAGATCGATGCTAATGCTGTTGATCACTGAATTGTCTGGTCCGGACTCGATTATTTACATACCGCCGCCATATCGCTGGAATATTGCTGAGTGCGACGTAAAACTAAACTCACTCACTCACTCACTACTGTGCTATATAGAAATATTTTGTCATCCCGTTCTTTACAGAAACGCATTCGATCGAAGTGCTAGATAACTTGACACAATGTGTTCTGATAATATATACATCGTTTGGCTTTTTACGTCTACGTTTTGAAGTAGTAATGGTGATATACTGAATTTGGATCACTTAAATTCAAATATTCTTGTTCTTTTGTTTCAGGGCGCAGGGAACATCAGTAGTTTTCCCATTACGTTTCACTATGTCCGAGGAAATGAGATGCTGGCTCTAGACTTCTATATATACCACGTGAAACACGCTAGCGGTGGGGGAATGGATTGAAATGGGGGAAAGGAGGTTTAGTCAGACTCTCAGCTATCTAGCTCTGACTCACTTGTCAGAGGTACACAGAAAATTCTTGATATCAACTATCTGTTGTCAGACTTCCATTTCGTGGGAACCGGAGTGGCTGTGGGTACAATATTACGTTGTTGAACGAACCACTCAGCAATAGTCCAGCTATATGGCGGCGGTCTGTAAATAATTAGTTCTTGATCAACATCATAAGCATCAATCTACGCAATTGGGATATGACGACATATGTCAACCAAGTCATCTAGCCTGACGACCCGATCCCGTTAGTCGACCCTTACGACAAGCATGGGTTGCTGAAGACCAATTCTAACTCGGAATCTTCACGGGTCTTATCTTCTGAGTGCACTCGATCTGTATTCTCATTTCCCGAGTCTGGAGGAATAGTATACAACACAAGCTAGCTGTGATTCATTACAGTCACATTACCACCTGGTACAGCCCTGTATCCATTCCCTGCTGAGCAAGCAGATACACATTTCGGACTTTCCCAGTTACTTGCCTGAGGACAACTTATCGCTTGTTTTACTGAGTGAAAGTATGAACACTCTTTCAAATGCATAGTCTGGTTTTTGCGTATATAATTTATTTTTATATTTTATTATCCATTATTGAAGGACACAGGGTAGTATTTTTCCTGTAAGTCCCAACGGAGGTTACACCTTTTGGTGATTTTGATTGGCTGTTTCAGAAAGTAAAACATCCAATCAACGCATGGGGATATGGGGAATCTCCACATCGAGGGGTTCCTTATAAAGAATGCTGGTTTTATATCGAAAATTGATATGGGTAGCAAAAACAATAACCAAATCGTGCCGAGGAATGACAGACTCGCCAAGGCTCGAGAATTACTAAATATAACTCGGGAAAGATAATCTGTCATTCCGCGTAACTCGTCAGTTATTGTCAAAATAATGTCTTCATATTTGTATATCTGTATAAATCATGTAAATCATCTGGGTAAATAAATTATGATGGCTCAAGCTGTTCTTATTGCAGAAGTAGTATACACATATATAACACCACCATGAGTGAGTGAGTGAGTATGGCTTTACGCTGCTTTTAGCACTATCACGACGGGGGACACCAGAAATGGGCTTCACACATTCTACCCATATGAGAAATCGAACCCGGGTCTTCATCGTGACGAGCAAACACCTTAACCACTAGACAACCCCACCGGCCCCAACCATGAGTGAGTGAGGGGTTCAATGCTATTTTAGGATTAATGGAAAGACCGATGTCATGCAAGTTCTAGATATTTCGCCAGTTTGGCAAGGATAAAGTGTTAAGTAAAATATATAAAGCATGATTTATTGAAAAGGCTAATCACATAAAAATCACTTGATTTAACCACATTTGGAAAACATATTAATATGTAACCATAATTATTTAACTTTGCCACAACAAAGGTGATACGAGTATTTGTGTGAATGGTACTAAACAAATTATACATATGAGAACATTTATATAACGCATTTAAATGAAAGAAATATTCATTATAAAACACTTAATCCATAACCCAAACGGGGCCCTGTTGGTAATTCCTGTTTTGCATGCAGATTTCGCGCTTTCAAGACGTCCGTGGGAAAAAAGGCATATAACGTGCTCTTGAAAAAGTGTGTCTCTAAACCACGAATCATTGTCACCCAAATCATTGTTTAGACGTCGACAGCCCAACCAAAAGGTTTAACGTTGCACAGCAGTTTAACGTGCACAGGAACACCATATGCCGCTTGTGCAGACGCCATCAATAAAACGTCAATGTTGCAGACCGTCCCCGGAGTGGCCGTCCATCTGTAACCACATCACGCAAGGGTCGTTGGATTCGAACCATCCATCTGGGCCAAAGATTCCAACCAGCCACACTGACAGCCTCAACAGTTCCTGGTGTCAACAGGATATCAACAAAGGACCATTTGCTGGCGTCTGGCTGCACACGGGATACGTGCTATATGTCCTGCTAGACGAGATATTTTGACATTACATGAGTACGTGAATGGTGAGTGGTGCAGACAACAACTGCGGTGGAGCGCACGCGAGTGGAGACATGTTCTCTTCACTGATGAGTCCAGATTAATCTTACACCGCGCTGATGGCCGAACCCAGATCTGTCCCCTATCGAACACGTCTGGGACGAAATGGAGAAGGGGTTGAGACGTTGGCAAAATCCCCTAGTCTCGCTTCAGGAGCTCCACCAGGTGCTTCCACAGATATGGAATGCCATTCCACAAGACTTCTTACGATGTTTGATTGGCTCAATGACGCGCATGTGGTGGACATACACGTTATTGACTATGTGAATTTCATGTTGAACGTTCTCTCACTGTGACTGTTCTTCCACTGAATACGGAGCGGTGGGGTAGCCTGGTGGTTGAAGCGTATGCTCGTCACACCGAAGACCGAGTTCGATTCCCCATATGGCTACCATGTGTGAAGCCCATTCCTGCTGATATTCCAGTGATGTTGCTGGAATATTGTTAAGACCTGGGCTCTTCTTTCCAAATGTGTTCTTGCCCATTTCTTGTGTTGTTAGCCTTAATAGAGGAAGGATGTGATAAAGAAGAGCTTAATTCCGTATTTACACAATTCGATTATTTCTCACAACAAACTTTAATACATTCAACTGGAATCGATTAACAGGACACGCCGTCTCCTGGAGTGTGTGTTAAGAATACGGTTTTATGATAAATAACCCTCTCCAGATGTGGTGATTGTCAATAGTAAGAATTATTCAATGTAGAGAAAATTTATTGCACTGTGGACAATGACGCTCCACACATTCATTACGACGCAGTTTTTGTGAGGCAGCTTTGGTTGACAAAGACATGGACTGAACAATATCTATAGGGAAAGTGCAATGATTAGTATTTCAGTCCTGAAAAACACAATGTCAATAAATGCATTAGTGGTCGAATTGTTTGCTTGCAGACCCGGGTTCGATTCCCCACATTTATACAATGTGTGAAGCCCATTTCTGGTGTATTGCTGGAATATTGCTAAAAGCGGCGTAAAACCAAAGTCACTCACTCCATTGTATATATCGGTCGCGTAAAGCAGCACATGCGACCACAAAATCACGGTAGGTGTTTCCAAGTTATTGGTTAAGGTCAACGATAAAGTGGGATGTAGTCGTACACCCCTTCATATTATTACAAATGCACGGAATATTAAAATGAGCATTCATTCTGCTGCCTCATTAACCAAAAAATATAGTAAAACGCAAATATTATGGATGACAACTTTTTCTTTATTGTACGTCACAACGTTTCTGGGCTATTCCTTCCTTCCTTGAACACCAACTTCTAAATGCCTGTCAAGAACCTCAAAACATATACTAATACCTCTATACAAGTCAAGATGTTGCCGCATAGTCATACATCTCGATTGATTGTATGGACGTAAGGCCTCTTTTGTTCAAAAGGATTTCGTATTTTATTTATTTTCATATAACAGAGCTCGATAAGGGCTCGTCAACCAGAGCGCAAGGACTTTGCCCCGCATAATATTTTGTCAGTGGATGAAACCCATATCCTTCCATGCGTATGTAAACCGTGACATGATCATATCGGGTTTATTTGACCAGCTGGTTCTCCCCATGGTCTGTCCGCAACAGTGAAGCTGTAGCAATAGTGAATTATCCAAGCGTACGAAGAATTCAGTGTAGACGTCTCGTAGGAGAACACAATCGAACAAGGATTTGCATTTCTATACGAACCGTCAATGCTGGAGATCAGTCAGTCCCGAAAACAGATTCCGTTGGGTTGTGGTGAAAATTATATACATGGATGACTAAGGACACCAGGTGTTCGCAAAAAGGATAAGCACGGCCGACAGAACCCATGATTCACACAACTGGCTGAAAAAGTAAATGTTTGTAAGGAAACAGACACCTGAAACAGATTTCGTCTCTCTCTTTGCTGCAATATACCCGTTTTGCACTCATTTTAAAGCTGGAGCATGAGGTTGAACACATCTGTAATACTGAATGACAATAGAACAGAAACTTCATGATTATCTGATAATCGTGAGTCAGCATCGTAAGTTGAATCTGCAATGATTCTTGGTGTATAAGCATCGTACCTGTCGCGCTCATAAATTTCGCCAAAGGTTTGTTCGTCCAACGTCACTTTCCTTGACCTCAAACCAATGCAAACCCAAAATCTGTTTTATGCAATGTTTCGTGATTGGTTTCGGAATATAGAGACGACAGGTACTCACGGCGATAAAAATAGGAACTGTATCATGACAACAAGAGCTCTAACCCCAGGGAATACCACCGCACGGACAACAAGACCTCAACTGTTTACTGATATCATCGCAGGAAGCCATGACTACAAAACCTCAAACACGGAGGGCAGTAATGACAACGAGACCCACACTCCAGCGGATATCACCCGGGCAGCCATGACAATACGACTTCGGACAATAACGGTTGTCACGGCATGGAGCCATGATAATGAGATCTCAGATATCAGTGAGGGCAGTTATGACTAAGCAGCTTCACATTCCAACGGATATCTTCCGGGCAGCTATGACAATAAGACCTCAGACACCAACGATACCACAGTATGGAGTCATGGCAATAAGACTTAGAGATCACGGACGGCAGCCATGACAAAAAGACCTCAAACACTTACGGATATCACTTTGGGTAGTAAGTCAATGAGACCTCCCACTCCAACGGATATCACTCGGGCAGCCATGACAATAAGACCTCAGACACCAACCAATATCACGGCGGACCGTAATGACAGCAAAATCTCATACTCCAACGGATATCACCGTATAGAGTCATAACAACAAGACCTCATATGTCAACCGATATCACCGCATAACAACTTGGACGGCAATGGATATCACTGAGGTCAGTCATACAACAAGACATCAGACAGATATCATCCCGGGCATCCATGGCAACAAGCCCCGAGATCGCTGCGGATATCACAACACGTGGTCATGGCAAATGGATATCACTCTTGACGGCCAATATATTACCGCCAACCAACGTTGGAACACAGACTAAAAAGAATCACGGATATCACCGAACGAAGTCTCGAAAGACGACCTCACAACATTACGGACGACGGCTTTCATCGCATGGAGACATGACAGTAGAATGCGGACATCACCAAAGCATACACTCTGAAAGGTAAGGATGAATGCGATGCGCTAGAACTACTGTCATTCAAGCAAAAAAATTTTAACTGATGTTTTTACATACCAAATCTTGATTTGGTAAAAACGTTTTATTCTCAATTGCGTAATTAGAACTTAGCCAAACTTCGCGATAGATCTTAGATGATGTCAAAAGTGGCAAATATTGAATCCACAGTGAATATTAAAAACCAGGCAAGAGTTGATCTACTTTGGTAAAGTCGTAAACTGTAGCGTGAATTCTCGTCGTCAGAAGTGTGGTGTTAATTAACAACAAACAAAACACGACACACAATTCCCTAACCTGGTGAGGTTCAGGACATATTTATGTGTATTACATAAAACGAAAATAGGAAGTGTCGCCTTTAAATTGGAATCCTTTTAAACTGAATTCAAAATTGAAATTTTACGTTACTGAATATATATATATATGTGTGTGTGTGTGTGTGTGTGTGTGTGTGTGTGTGTGTCTGTGTATATATATATTTGTGTGTGTGTTTGTGTATGTGTGTGTGTTTCACACGCGTTATTTTGCTTTTTTGCTACCTCAGCAGCTCAGTTGACCAGGTGCACACAACATATCGATGTTACTAATGATATACAATCATTTTATTTTGTTTTGAGTGAAGGTAAATGTTTGTTTTATCGGGGATACGATTAACATCGAACCGAACAGAGGATACAAGAAGAAGTTTGCCAAATGCCTGTATCATTCCCATGGCCCTACACAATTTGGTAGGTATAAACGCTGTTTGGTCAATTTCTGTACACATACAAACGTCTTGGTTCAATTCTTAAACTAAGGATAACATAGGATACTTGCTTGTTCTGAGTTTGATTACTGTTTCAGGTTCATGGGATAGTATATCGTTAGAGCTTTGATAAATGTGTCTAAATAATGTCCCCATCGTATTTATGACAGTTTTACAGCATTTGAAAAAGAAGAATCAAATCTACATTAAATAAAGATACACGAATCTAAGAATTTCATTTTGGGTAAATTAGTTAATTAATTGTCTGACAATTTCTGAAGAGAGTATGTTTTAAGCGTCATATATGCTATATGCATATATGACATTTGCTAACAGTCTTTTCTAGTTTCAGTATGCCATTATGTGTGACATTTTAGCGAATAAAATAATCTAAGTATGAATGTGTTTGTTCAAATGTTATCATGTTAAAAAGCAAGGAATGTCAAATGTATGATACTAGACACATAATATGTCTAATTAACATGTGCGACCGTATCTAATAGTACTGAGTTTTTCTTTCTCGATTGTGGCATTCGGTTTTGATTGTGTTTATATGAACTCTTCAGCATGATGAAATACATGATCAAAGTAGCATTTTCGAAGGGATATTTTTGGATCACTTTTCACGTGAACTTGGTGGTGCGAGTGTCTTGGTCGTGTTTGGTGTAATTTATGCACAATTTTTCGGATCATTTCCGAATGCATGTCTTGATTGTGTTTATATCAACACTACTGAATGATGAGTGTCATCTTGGGGTAATTTACCGCCAGCACATGTAGGTGGCAGTGTGTTGTGACTCATGGTATTAACACGGATACTTGGTGTAATGCATTCACAAAGTAGCATTTTTTGACGGACTTTTTCGAACATTTTCGCGAGTATTTGGGGGCGGCGGGATGTCTCAATCGTATGTATAACAACACCGAAACGTTCTCGAAACGTTCGTAGCCCTAAGAATTCTTAACTTTGATCGTAGCAAATGTGATAAGAATGGGATTAAGAAGTTCGTAGGTCTACGAACGTTTCGTGAATAGCTAGCCAGGTCGTTATACTAACGTATGCATGTAGTGGCATTTCTAAACGGGATTTTTCGGATCATTTTATGCGTGAATGTTGTGGTGGTATGTCTTGATAGCATATATATAAACGCTATTAAATGATGTTTTACATCCACAAAATAATACTTCCAACGGAGTTTTAAGGATCACTCTTCGCGGTGGTGGTGGCGATGGTGATTATAATTCTTGATCCTCCTTCTATTAATAATGATATATGGAAAGAGTGGCATTTGTGTCTGAAATTGTGTGGATAATTTTCCGCGTGCACTTCGTGGTTGAGGTGTGTCTTGATTGTTGTTGTATTAACACAGATGCATATGCATACACAATGTAGCATTTACTGACGGATCTTTTCGGATCATTTTCCTCGTGCACGTTGTGATGGAGGTGTGTCTTAATTGTCATTGTATTTACACAGATGCATGTGCATACACAGTGTAGCATTTACTGACGGATCTTTTCGGATCATTTTTCGTGTGCATTTTGTGGTAGGTGTGTGTCTTGATTCTCATTGTATTAACACGGATGCATTTGCACAGTGTAGCATTTACTGACGGATCTTTTCGGATAATTTTCCGCGTGCACTTTGTGGTGGAGGTGTGTCTTGATTGTGATTGTATTAACACAGATGCATGTGCATACACGGTGTAGCATTTACTGACGGATCTTTTCGGATAATTTTCCGCGTGCACTTTGTGGTGGAGGTGTGTCTTGATTGTGATTGCACAGATGCATGTGCATGCACAGTGTAGCATTTACTGACGGATCTTTTCGGATCATTTTCCGCGTGCACTTTGTGGTGGAGGTGTGTCTTGATTGTCATTGTATTAACACAGTTGCATGTGCATACACAGTGTACTATATACTGACGGATCTTTTCGGATCATTTTCCGCGTGCACTTAGTGGTGGAGGTGTGTCTTGATTGTCATTGTATTAACACAGTTGCATGTGCATACACAGTGTACTATATACTGACGGATCTTTTCGAATCATTTTCCGCGTGCACTTTGTGGTGGAGGTGTGTCTTGTATTAACACAGATGCATGTGCATGCACAGTGACGGATCTTTTCGGATCGATTTCCGCGAGTGTATTATGGTGGCAGGATCACTTGACCGTGTGTCTTGAACACCAGGACACACACACATATATAAAGGAATTTCTGGGATCATTTCACACGTGAATGTTGTGGTGGTGGTTGTCCTGGTTGTATTTATATTAACACTAACGATTAGTGTGTTTATGAGTAGTACAACGTAGTACAACGTATAGCAATTACAACGGAGTTTTTCGGATCACTGTTTGCGTGCAGTACTGTTGTTGACAGTGTTATGCATTGCATGTGTTTGCATTGGCACTGGTGAATAGTGGAATACGTACATAAGGATATTTGTTTTCGGATCATTTCACACGTGAATGTTGTGGTGGTGTGTCCTGATCGTATGTATATCAAACATAACAAATTAGTATTATCGGATCACTGTTTGCGTGCACTTGGTGACAGTGTTATGTCGTGTATGTGTTTGCATTGGGACTGGTGAATAGCGGAATACCTACATAGGGATTTTTCGGATCATTACTCGCGGGAATGTTGCGCTGGGGGTATGTCGTATTTATATCAACACATATCGGATCACTGTTTGCGGGCACTTGGTAACAAGGTTTTGTCTCGTATATGTTTGTATTGGCACTCATGAATGCTGGAACCCGTTAGAACTGGTCTTCAGTAACCCATGCTTGTCGAAACTAACGGGGTCGGGATCGTATCTCAACTATGTAGATTGATGCTCTGGATTGACTGGTCCAGAATCGATTGTTTAGAGACCGCTATCATGTAGCTGGCATTTTGCTGAGTGCAGCGTAAAACTACACTTAGTCACTCACGAATGCTGCGATACGTACATAATGATTTTTTCGGATACCTTTCCGCGTGCCCTTACTGATGGCGATGGTACATGGACGTCTTGATCGTGTTTATATTAACGCTGATGAAGCATTTGTGTATGTGAAATTGTTACGATCATTTTCCTCGTGCACTGGTGGCGGAAGTATGTCGTTATTGTCATGGTTTTAACACAGATGCATAGTGTAATGGAAACACGAAGTAACACTTATTGAGGGATCGTTTCGAAGGTCGCGGGCTCGATCCCCGACCGCGTCATACCAAAACACGTTAAAATAGGGTACTTGTTGGTCCCTGCCTGGCGCTAGGCAATAATGGGTACATCAAGGACTGGTCGGCTTGGAGTCAGTATAATGTGTCTGAGTGGGGTATTCACTGCGGCATGGTATCTCAGTGGGCTAGCACTATAAAACCAGCTTCAGTCTGGGCTAGTACAAGCAGCCCCACATACACATACACACACATGCACGTCGTCATATGAGCGAAATATTCCCAAGCACGACGTTAAACCCAATTTCACCTCACCTATGCAAAATCGATATAATCACCCATAACTTCTGGAAAATTTCCCAATTCAAAAACAATTTACACAAATATAATTACGCACCCTAACGCCCCATTCAGGTTGCCATACATTTCGGTCAAATCACCCCTCTTTCGGTCAAACACATTTCCGGCCCATGTGCGAAACGCGCATTATGTCGGAAAGCGCACGTTAAATCTCCAAACGATAATCATCATCACAGTATAATTCATTCAGTTTCTGCTCGCACTCAGTGGCGGCGACAATGTCTGTATCATGTGTAAAGCAGACACGAAGTCTTTTTATCTTTTTATCAGATTACTATTCGCGTTCGCTTTTGGGTGGAGGTGGGTCCTAATTGCAATAGCGTTAACACGCACGCACGGTGTAGTTTATACACAAAGTAGCATTTACCTACGGACCTTTTCGGATAATTTTTTCGCGTGTGTTTGGTGGTGGCGTTATGTCTTGGTTGTATGTATAAGAAAACCAATCAAGGTAGTAAAAACATACCCATCCGCTATTTCTAAACACTTGATAACAGTGTTATGTCTTAAATTGTGTTTGTATCGACAATGACGATTTGGCGATTTGTTTGGCGTTAAACGCCGCCGTCCAGCTATATCGCGGCTGTCTGTAAATAATAAAGTCTAGACCAGACTATCAAGTGATCAACAGCATGATCATCGATCTGGCATACGATGACATATGTCAACTACGTCACCGAGCCTGACCACCCCACCCCGTTTAAACGCCTACGGCAAGTAGGGGTTACTGGGTCAATTCTATCCCGGACGTATTCTGATCCTGTGTGTAAAACGGGGCGGTGGGGTAGCCTATTAGGTAAAGCGTTCGCTCGTCACGCCGAAGACCCGGGTTCGATTCCCCACATGGGTAAAATGTGTGAAGCCCATTTTCTGTCCCCCGCCGTGATATTGCTGGAATATTGCTAAAAGCGGAGTACAATCAAACTCACTCACTGTGTGTAAAACGTGATCACCAGATCTCGCTTGTCGACTCTTATGACAATCATGGATTGCTGAAGACCAATTCTAACCCGGATCTTCACGGGTGTATTGGGCAAGGGGCATGACATGTATATGCACATCCATAATATTATGCAAATACGTGGAACGTCGCTAAAAGGTACATTAAAATCTGTGATTAAGAGGATATGTGTACTCTTTGTTTGGTTACACAATAAATGAATGTGTTTACTCAAACGTAGTTTGTGGTATTGTTTTGTCAAATTTATCGAGAATCTGTTTAGCAATTCACGCTTAGGCAGACGCGATATATTTCAACAAACGGTGGAAGAGCAGTCCTTGAGATGGATTTTCATTCGCTGATGTGGTTGAGCAAATGACCAGCAAATCTGAAGTTTCTTTGTCAACGAGACGGATTTGTGTATCACTACAGCAGGTTGTAGTTTCGAATGAATGCAGTTTCGTGGAATGTGATCAATGAAGGACGATACGTTTTCTTTACGGAAATTTCGTAAAATAATTGCACTGATATCCCGTAACACTTATTTTACGATTACGAATACTGTAACATGACCCAATATTTAACAAATATAATCCAATTTCATGTATATCATTTTAAAGAAAACTTTCAGGGTAAGGAAGTAACCAATGTATGGAAAAAATATTTCATTAATGAGTGAAAAAAATTACAATAGATGAACATTTAACATTTGCAAAACGCGTAAAGCGTAATTAAATTGTTTGTATTGATGCTATAACTGAACACACCTTTGAATAACGATATCATATATACTGATGTGCGTTTATTTATCTAACCCCCAAAGGCAATACTGTGTCAGGTGATTAGGAGCAGACGACATAGTTCTACTTCCTGTTGGGCAAGAAGATGTGATTTCAGATGATACCACTGAAAAATGACCACTTGTGGAACGGGTATGATGCTGCCAAACCAGAAAGAATCAATGAGTTCCTAGTCTAATTCAACCCATGCTCTGTATATTGCAACAACTAAGATCGACTGCCCAATGAAGGTAAGTTGAGGAAGATGTACCGATATTGAGAATACCCTCAATGGAACGAATAGATTCTGAATGTTATCTGGGGTAAATGCTATTGCAAACAAGGTGTTCTTTCAGGGGCAAGACGTTGCAGATTGTTTTCACAGCCTTTGGCAATATTCCTTGTGCGGAAGATGTACAATGTACTGATATTTCGAGTACTTTCCATGGAACGAATAGATTCTGAAAATTAGAGTAAATGTAATTTGTAAACAAACTGTTTTTTCACTCAATTTGTCTTTAAGGGGCAAGCCGATGTACATGGTTTTACAGAGTCTGTACCAATATTCCAGCATTGTCGGGATGAATGCAAAGCCTGTACTGACTGTTTGCATATTATCTTAATAAAATAAGAGCTATTCAATGTGGACTCGGAACGTGTATTTATCAACAATGAGAAAACTACCAAAAAAACGAAACATTATCCATTTAATAAAAATAGACACATTATGATAACTTTACACATTGGTATTATTTACAGGCTACTGGCAGATTATTTAGATCAACAAATGCAACAAAGATTCAG